AACCCATAAAAATTCATGGATGCAGTTTATTGAAAAGCACTAGAAAAAAGCCCTGAAATCAATCTTTTTATGTCTCTCTTTTCTCACTTGTTTTTGCCCAAATTTGGTTACACCATTGAGTCCATTAAATGGTCAATTCCCCTAAACAACGGCATTAAATTTTGTTCTTGGATTTTTGGCTTCAAAGTTCAGCCCACCCCAGATATAGATCCTGGATCCGTCCCTGAACATAGCAGGAGATAAATAATAAAAGAAACTCAAAAACTCTTGAAAACCTGCTACTTTATAGGGGATTGACTCTGTTGTAGTGGTTAAAATAGGAATTGGTAGTATCTTTACCTTGTGCATGAAGGATTGTTGGTCTACCTATGCTTGGAGGAATTATTCAATCTGTGATAATGCTTGACAAAAGTTGCTCTGGTAGATCAAAATTCGTTTTCAAGTGCATGCTTATGTACTTGAATTTGTATTGAGCTTATATTTGACATTCCTTTTCATGAGTTATGCTTGTCAAGCAGCATTGAAGGTTTCTCTTTTTTGTCGTTTATTTAAATTGCTCCATCCATGGTTCCAGCTCATTGCTAAAGAACTGATGGAATGATGGTTTTCATGTTACTTTCTGTGAAAAAATAGTTCTCAGTTACTTGGTTTTCGTTGAAGCAACTTTTGTTTTATAACTTAAGATAAACTTGGCAGGTTTGGGCAGTTCGATAGTGCAAAAGAAACCTTTGAAGTTATAGGTGATTATGAAAGTATGCTTGACCTCTTTATATGCCACCTAAACCCCAGTGCCATGCGGCGTCTGGCTCAAAAACTGGAAGAAGATGGCACAGATTCAGAATTAAGACGATACTGTGAAAGAATTTTAAGAGCCCGTTCTACTGGGTGGACTCAAGGAATTTTTGCTAACTTTGCTGCTGAGAGTATGGTCCCTAAAGGTCCTGAATGGGGTGGTGGGAACTGGGAAATCAAAACCCCAACAAACATGAAGGCTATACCTCAGTGGGAACTGGCTGCAGAGGTGATGCCGTACATGAAGACTGACGATGGCACCATTCCATCCGTTATTGCTGATCATATTGGTGTTTACTTGGGATCAATCAAAGGAAGAGGCAACATTGTAGAAGTAAGGGAAGATAGCTTGGTCAAAGCTTTTAAATCAGCAGGTGGTGACAACAAGCCAAATGGTCTTCCGTTGTCTACGTCCACATCTAATATGTCCAAGGGAGTGCCCGGTGGTGATTCGCTGATGGGTCTGGAAACACTTAACAGCAAACAATTTGCCAGTTCCTCTGCAGCAGATGAACAGGCTAAAGCTGAAGAAGAATTCAAGAAAACAATGTACGGTGCAGCTGATGGTAGCAGCAGTGATGAAGAGGGAACTTCAAAAGCTAAAAAGTTACACATTCGAATAAGAGACAAGCCAATTGCTTCTACTGCAGTGGACGTGGATAAAATCAAAGAAGCCACAAAGCAGCTCAAACTCGGTGAAGGGTTGGGTCCACCCATGACCAGGACCAAGTCATTGACTATTGGATCCCAGGACCTTAGCCAGATGTTATCCCAACCTCCTCCTCCAGCTAACGGTGGGTCAGTGGCTCCTCGTGTAGGCTCTGCCCCTGGTGATCTATTTGGTATGGACTCGTTTACACAACCTGCAACAGTATCACATCAAGCTCCTACCTCAACAGGTAAGGGGGTTGGTCCTGCGCCTATTCCAGAGGACTTTTTCCAGAATACGATACCATCCCTTCAGGTTGCGGCCGCACTGCCCCCTCCAGGGACCTATCTTTCAAAAATGGATCAAGCTTCTCAAGGGTTTGAAAGCAACAAGGAAGCATTTAACCAGGCCAATGCATCCAATGCCAATGTTCGTCTTCCTGATGCTGGTGTTCCCCCTCAAGCTAGTCAGCTGGCTGCTGCTCCATTCGAGCCCGTTGGACTTCCTGATGGTGGTGTCCCACCATCCTCAGGCCAGGTTGCCACGCAGCATCAATCTCATATTCAATCAACTCAGTTCCCAGTTTCTACTCAGCCTCTTGATCTTAGTGTCCTTGGGGTTCCAACTTCTGCTGACTCTGGAAAACCTTCAGCGCAGCCTCCTTCTCCACCATCTTCTGTGCGTCCTGGACAGGTAATACATACATGTACATGTACACAAGTTTGCATAACTATTTCTTGAATTCCCGCAATCCATTTTTATTTCCTGGCTTTCCTCGTAACAGGTACCCCGGGGGGCTGCTGCTTCTGTATGTTTTAAGATTGGAGTTGCCCACCTTGAGCAAAATCAACTTTCAGATGCGTTGTCTTGCTTTGATGAAGCTTTTCTTGCACTGGCTAAGGATCAGTCTCGTGGAGCTGATATTAAAGCGCAAGGGACCATCTGTGCTCAATACAAGATAGCAGTCACTCTTCTTCGGGTAATTTATTCATTCTTCTAGGGAAAAAAGAAAGAAAGATGGGTGTGCTCTTATTTTGAGGCTGAGTGAATGGACAATACAACCCTTTGCCAATATATTAACACTATGGGACTAAAAGCTCTTGCGGGATTGATTTCTATTGGTCCTCAAAGATCCCTTAAAAAAGATTGATTTCTATTGGTCATCAAAGATCCCATAAAAAAAACTGATCTGAAACCTTGTGTTTTGAATAGTGGCACATAACTTATCTCAAATTTGGTTTTCATTTGCAGGAAATTGGGCGGCTGCAAAGAGTTCAAGGTCCTAGTGCAATCAGTGCAAAAGACGAGATGGCAAGGCTCTCACGCCACCTGGGTTCTTTGCCTCTTCTGGCAAAGCACAGGATAAATTGTATTCGAACTGCAATTAAGCGGAACATGGAGGTGCAGAATTATGCTTATTCGAAGCAGATGCTCGAACTCCTGCTATCCAAAGCACCTCCAAGTAAGCAGGAAGAATTGAGGAGCTTAGTTGATATGTGTGTGCAAAGGGGTCTGTCCAATAAATCCATTGATCCATTTGAAGATCCTTCCCAGTTCTGTGCCGCCACGCTTAGTCGTCTGTCAACTATTGGATATGACGTTTGTGATCTTTGTGGGGCCAAATTTTCCGCTCTCTCATCACCCGGTTGCATTATATGCGGTATGGGAAGCATTAAAAGATCAGATGCACTCACAGGGCCAGGGCCTGTTCCTTCACCGTTTGGTTGAGGTCTAAATTTCCGCAATGTGTTCCCATACGGGCACAACTTTGAGGAAATTAGCCCCAAAACACTCCGAGTACTTTTCACTTCAATGTAGTTGCTGCCATAGAATATCGTTCGGAGGAGGCTTCACCCACACCGAAGAGATCATACCACTTCCCGTTAGGTATATAACGTATCAAGTTTATTTTTTCTTGTAATTGAGTTTAAGTTTGTTGCCATGCCTTAATTTTTCTTTTGTGCGTTTACTCCCATTTTTTATCTGTCATTATCCAAATCATTGATATTCCCAGTTTTGTGATTACTTTCCCTCTGACTTTGTAAAGAACTGGATCCTATGAAATCCAAAATTCAGTTGCTCTGTGTGAATAATGATGCTTTCATCATTTGGCTCTAAAATTTACATGCGATGCGTGAATTTGTGTCTGTCTCTCTCCTCACTTGACACATGGCATAGCAGCGTATATCCTACGCCTCTCTCTGTCCTCGCGTGACACAAGTGAGGAAAAAGGCAGAGGTATAAACCCAGTTACATGTAAGTATATCTCCTAGTTTACGCGTTTTGATATTTCGTTCTATTGATCCAAGTCTTCAGCAGCTGACAAGTGACAACCCACAAGCGATGACTTTTAGCAAAATAATACAAATTTCGGAAGGGAGGAGGTGTGTGTACGTATGTGTATGTATTGTACATTTTGGTTCAAAGTAAAGCAAATGATTGAAGTTAGAAAAGCAAACAAGAGGGGCCTCAGCAATTTTTTCCTTTTGCAAAGCAAGATTCCAACTGTTTCACTTCACCTGCTTCATAATTTGTCAAGCGGGAATCCCTTCACAACACTACTATTTTCCGTTCAATTATTCCGTGGTGTAATTCAACAATTGGAACCGTTCATTTCGAATGTCAAAAATCATACGAATCAGTAATTGTTTAGCCATTTAGTTATCGAAATTTCATTTCCGCTTCATCTACCAAATTGTGTTTTTGGTTGTTGCACGTCTTAGATGACCAAACAATTTGAATGAGGACCTCAAATATAAACGGTTTCAATTGTTGAGTTGCATTATAGAGTAGCCCGTTAATTGATTGGCCAATTTTGTTACCAACCGTTGTGTCAAGTTTGTCAAGGGCCGAAGGGAAAACCCAAAACCCAACAGAAAAACTTACATGGAACGATTTCACTGTCACCGTGACGTCTCAAACTAATAATACAATGTTGTGTGTAGGTTCCCCTCCACAACACTACATTAAACAATCACATGACAGTGAACACATTCCGTGTACATTACTCTCCGAAACAGTTCTCTCCCTACGTCTCTTTATTTCTCCCTTGGAAGCTAAAATGTACTGCCAATTTGTCAACCAGAGTTAAAGGGCTAGAGCCCTAGAGGTCCCTTTTTTCAATGGATTGAATTATTTTGTTGGGTAGTGTTATCCACACACCCAATTTTATCTCACTCTTATCAATTTTTAGCCGTCGGGTTAAATGAATTGAAGATTAATGAACAAAAAATAACAAGGGTGTATGGAAGGTAAAAAAAAAGATATGCTAGCGATTAATTTTCACCCAAAAATATCATTTTAGAGATGCAAAATTATTGTACAAAAATCAAACAAAATGACATCTTGGTCAGGTCATGTGGGGTGGGTTAGCTTATTAGCATACCAGAAATGCTTGCCTCTTTTACATGCTAGGAGTCATTCATTCTTTTCGACTAATCAGAATTTGATACATTTGGATAAACATGAGCCACAAGTATTCGTGTCCGCATTCATGCATTAATCCTCATAGTTTTCGCTTCACCATCTTGCAAAGATACATAAAATTGACTCAAAAATATTGCCCTCTTTCCCAAACCCAATTTTATATGTACTTCAGTACCTTGTTTACTATACCAATATACAAACCCGAGAAAAACTCGCGTCAGGGCAACTCAGAAAAGCACGAACCTTCTGTATTTTGGTCACACTCGACCAGTACATTGGTCTTACCCGATGTGAAAGCTACCGGTCCCTATCAAGTTTCCCTCATCAAACCCACCACCATAACCACTGTTCACAAAACTATGCATACTAAAGAATTGGACCAAAAACTTTTGACAAAAAAAAAAAAAAAACGTGTCTGTCATTTCTGTAAGAGCAGCCTGAAGGTGAAATTGTATGGCATTATTTGCACCAACTGTGAAATGGGTTCGTCTCTTCCCCTCCTTTCAAGGCATTGAACTGCATCATTTCTCAGTTCATTTGGTAGCTGCATGCAAATCCAGTCCACCAATGATTCCAAATCCTTTGCGAAATCGAGTAAATACCAATCCAAAAGCTTGGGGATGATCAGTTTGTTTGTCCTTGAAATGCCAACTGCCGCCTGTATATACTCCCTTTTTGCTGCTTCCAACTCTTCTTCCACATGAGCTGCTGAGTACACTCTCACCTTTTGTTTCACAAGAATTTTTGCATATCAGAACGAACCGAATGGGTTTATACAGACGATTTCACACAAGTTTCGAATCTGAATTAAGTTTGAGATTAACTTACTGCAGGGGAGGACCAGCTTCCGCACGAAAGTGCAAATGTAACCAAGGGTTCAGACCACTCTAATCCGAAAATGCTGCGAGCTTTCATCTCATCATTTTTCGCAGCTTTTGGACATGTCTGTTTTAAGAGTAGGAAGCTTGTGAAACTTAATTTGCATTTTGTAGGCAATATGCATTAGATGAGAGTAACTTGAGTCACTCAACAAAAGTCAGTAGACCATAACCTAAAAGGATAGTGAATTTAAGGTGAATATACTTACAAATTTCAAGTGATAAGGCAGTCTTAAAATGAAATGCTCGATTGTAATTGCGTTCAGTGGGTGCCCCCCGACACCTATTGTTGCCTGATGCAAGCACATCCAATGTCAATTTACGAAAAATTATTGTACAATTGCTGTTGACACTAACAGAAACAGAACATCACATAACGAAGTACTGTGCATGATGCTATGGGCATATAAGGTTAAGGAATCCAATGTGTGTTCGTGTGTGCGTGCATGTCCAATGAAATCGGTAGAGATGGATTGATCTTACCTTTTGCATTAGTGCTACAACCATTTCAGGAGTCTCAGGTATCCCATGCTCTAAAAATGCCTACAATACAAACAGTTTCAAGTATGTATTGAAAAAACATGATTGATCAAACTTGCAGTTGGGACTATAAATATTTGGTTTTCGGTATTTTGGATAGAGAGATGCAGTATTACCTTCATCATGCAGGAATTATAAGTGTTGATCCAAAATGCAAGCTTTTGCTGATGGTTAAGACCTTCTAGACTCACTGTGGCAAGCTTTCCAAGTAGGAACCTGTTGATTTTTATAAATGACAAATCAATTAAACACAATCGCAAGCAGTTTGATTATTGGAGGACCAAGATTAGACAGACTAAAAACTCACTTTAATCTGTGCATCAGAATCAACGCGCTTGTTGTTCTGTTGAGATCAATCGAACCAATATCAATTGAACGGAGGTGTTTATAGGGGCCAATGTCTATGTCTCTGAATTCCAAACAAATACCATAAGGATCTCGAAACCCTGTCTCTCCATTTGATGCATGAGCAGATAATGTTGATCTAGAACTTCCCAATTCCTCTATCTTGTCCTTCAAACTGCTCATCCTCACAAAAATGCTGGACAAACACTTCACAATGTCCTCAGACACTTTGTTAGGAGTGTTATCAGCTTCCAGAACCCTATCATCCGAAGAACTAGATGAACTCTCATGTATTCTTTCCTGGTCTACTAATCTGCACTCTGGCTGAACAATTACAGGCACAAATAAATAACCACAATGTGTAACAGATTGAGTCTAATTACAACTTTTACAGTACTACATACCTCTAACTTCAAAGAGTCCGAAGATTTTGCCACGGATTCATGTTTCATACGAGATTTTTTCACTGGGGTTACAATTTTAGCAGTTTTCTTGTCAGGAGACTGCTTGTCCTTCGCTGCATTAGGACATAACCAATTCTCTTTTCCTCTACCATCTTCTGCAATAGTTGTGAAGGAATTGGGTTTCCTGGGAGTTTGTTTTCCATTGACTTGCCTGGTAGAACAATTCCCCGTTCGATCGGAGACGATATGATCAGTGGACATCATCCTTCTGCTCGAAGCACAGCGAGCAAGAGAAGGTTGAAGCCTGCTGGCCGATGTTGCTGACATGAACTCATTGTGTGACAAAGATTTTGACCTCTGATGTTTAGAGCCTCGAATCGGGGTCTGCTCAATCGAATCATTCAAAGTTTCGACACTACTCTTGGAGGACAGGTACACAGCCTGCTGATACAGGCCTTGTCGAAAATTAACAACCTGTTCTTCGAGCCGAACAACCTCCTCTTCCAAAACAGCTACTTCAGCCAGAAGTTCTAATGTCTGAAACAAAAAGCATCGCAATTTGCATCAATCCAAATGATGTGCATTCTTCATCAATTTCTAATCTTGGAAAAGGGTTCTTCTGGGTTTTCAGAGAGAGAGAGAGAGAGAGAGAGAGAGAGAGTGAGAGAGAGAGAGATAGAGAGGGAGTGAGAGAGATAATTGTACAAACATGTGGAGGGAGATAAGGAGGAAGACGAGGCAGAGCACCCAATGGTCTTGTAAAAGCCCTTTCCAATGCTCTGTGGACATTCTCTTCATGTCTGAGCTTCTTCTTCAGCTTATCAACCTGCATATTTCAAACCAAACCAATAAGTCAACGAACACATATCAAATAACAACATTAAAAGAAGAACTATTTTGCAGATATTAAGAAACCCAATTGAAATGTTGGAAGATTACATCTTTCTGCAATGCCATTTTTCGTTCTCGGTTCGATTTACGCCGATTGATTGCAGTTCTATCAATTCCCATTGCTCTGCTCTTCTGAGTCTCCATTTTCTTCTCCTTCTTTACAAATCCAACACCAAAACAATATCAATGTTATGAGCAAAAAAATGGGATCAGTGTGTCTGAGAAAAAAGGACTCCAAATGGAGAAACAACAACTATTCTTTTCTTGAGAATTAAAAGAATTTTTGGATAAAAAATGCCTCACTTTTCACAGATCAGTCGGAGATTAAACAAAAATGGAAAGAATTTTTTGGAAGTAAAGAATATTTAATATCTCATTAGTTATGAAATTAAATGAAAAAAATGGACAAGAAAATTTAAAAGCCTTTACTTTTTCAAGTAAATTTTAAAACCCAATTCAGATGCCTGTTGCCCATATTCAAAACTCCATTTTCAGAAAGGTTTCAAGGTCTAGAAGGCTAGAAGAAGAGAACCCAGAATTTTCTTTTTTACTTTTTTCTGGAGAAACAAACACACTGGCCTCGAAATTTGTCAATTATACGACCTCTCAGCTTTAAAGAAAGAAGAAGAATTACAACCCAAAAATGAAAAAAGAAAAGCAACTTACTTTATTAATATCATGGTTCATAGCAGCAGCAGCTTTCATGGTCTGCAGATTAGTGCGTACTCTGGTATTCATCTTTTTTTATTCTGGAAAAAAAAAAACAGAGAAAACTAAACTATGATGCAAATTTAATGCATCCTGAAAAGATGAACAGACGGATGACAACTAGAGAGAGAAAGAGCGAGAGAGAGAGAGAGAGATTATATTTCATAAATGGTTAAGAGAGCGGGAAAGTTGAAGTGGGTAAGACTCAGAAAAGGAAATGGCTACATTTGCATTTGGTGTTGTTGTTTGTTAGTTCTCTCTCTCTCTCTCTCTCTCTCTCTCTCTCTCTCAAACAGAGTGAAGTAAAAGAAAGCAGCAAAAGAACACAGATGACAGAGTTCTGAAGGAAACAGCAGAAAACGACGAGGTTTTAGACCTTTGAATTTGATAAAGCGTCGTCCAAGAAAAGCGTATAAGATGGACAACAAGCTTACTGCCATTATTATATATAATATTATATTATTTCATACAAGCAAATCTATTTTTTCTAGTCGATTTCAAACAAACAATCGAAGCTAAAGATTGTAGGTTTTATTATTATTATTTATTATTTTTTTTGTCGAAAGTTTATAGGATTTTTTAGTATGCCAAAGTTTAGAGGTTTTTCAATATGTATCGATGTATAATATACATCACAATTCTTAGCAGTTAGAGTTTTGTTCATTATATTTTTTATCAAACATTTTGTTCATTATATTTTTTATCAAACATTTTGTTCATTAGATTTTTTTTATCGTACATTTAATTTTTTTGGGAAAATGAAATGTGCGATCTTATATCCTTAATTGTTAGATCTTATCAATATCCTTAATTGTTAGATCTTATATTTGTTCTGGTGCATGTCATGCTTTGGTTTATGGGAAAATTTTTGAAGTTTAAATTGGCAAGCAATGTTTATACTATTAGGTTATAAAATGTAATTTGCCAAAGAAAAAAAGGTTACAAAATGTAGGTTTCTTTCCCTCTCTTTCTTTAAGTAACATTAAATTAAGAAACATGAAAGTTAGAGAGAGATAGAGACACGCACTAAAAAACACACGCTCTCTCCTCTCCCTTAAAATTTGAGCGTTTTTTCTTATGAAAAAAGTTAAGGAAATTCTCTTAAATTTAGAATATTCATAGATTTTCCACCACTTTATGTTTTTTACATAATATTTTATAATATTAGCATAAAAATTGTACAAAAAACATAAAATGCATGGCAGAAAATCTTACTTTTGAGTCTTCTTACCATTTTTCTTTTGGGAAAGTGAGAGGAACAAGAATGTGATTTGAGTCGTGATATTTGCAACTTTTAGCTTTTGTTTGTGTGACAACCCAAAATCTATGATGATGGATTAACATGCACAAAGCACTCTCCCACTCCAATCTTTTTGATTCCTACTAACTATAATTCATGACCAACCATTCCCTTCTTTTTACCTTTTATTTTTTTGCATCTTCTGTCTTTGGATTCCTTTCGTGAACTCAATTCTTTAATCAACTGCACTGGTTTTGTTTTAATTATTTAATTGGCAACTAATTGTCTTTCCAAGACACGTGTCCTACTAGGATAATTCATGCATGAATGATATTGTTCCAATAAACCATGGTCATTTGAAAATAATTATGGTTACAAAAAAGGCACTTGCATTTTGGAGGTATAATATGATAGCAAACACTTCTAAGATAAAAATATGCATATTACTATTCGGTTCATTAAGGTAATAATTATAATCTCAAAATGTATGGTATATGGTATCCTAGAATATAGTCGTTATCAGTGCCGCAGCTAGCATAGGGTCATTGATTGTTCATGACCTAAACAACTTCAAAAACTCTATGTATGTTTGTATGTGTAGTGTATTTATCCCTATAAACAGCTAGGGCAAATTAAATCACAACTTCCTTCTACTTCTTCTTCTATTTTGTTATCATCCATAATTGCAACATCCTTCCTACTTCTTCTATTGTTTTATCATCCATGTCTTCCTCTTCTCTCTTCTTATGTGCAACTCTATTGTGATCACCAAGTGATTGATGAAATGTCTTAGTTGAAAAGTCTTGGCAATCTTTAACATTACTCTAAAGTTTCCTATAGCCACCCTTGACAAACAAGCGTTTGTATACCATAGTAGTTGTTGACATATATTGGCATAAACCTTAGTAAATGTTGGCAAGAATCAATTGTTCGCATCAAGTTCTCAACGAAATGATCCAATGAAGTTTTTTTTTTTTTTTGTCGAAAATTACCCCATCATTTGAAAATTCTAGCTCTGCCACTATTCGCTACCAACTCACATGTAAATTTATGAATAGACAACGAGTTTTTACCTTAAGGTATAATATTAATAACCAATTCACATATCATAACATAAGTGAATTATTTATACTATATTGTAGTGTTTCAGTATCATATAATAGTATTGCGTCTAAATCGTAGACAAATAAATATTAGGAAGTTGTCTACATTGTGATGACAACTACAACGTACTAAACATCTGCAAGTGTAAGAGCCAAGTTACCAGCAGCTATAGGGACAATAAACAACTCATCTTATCATTATCATTAATAAAGTTGTTCATGTACTTGGCCCATGTTTAGTGCTGTAATATAGCTCTCAGATGCTCAAAGATTTATTGATTAATTGTTTTGGTTTATATATGAAAGATTTATTGATTGCACAAGAAATTGGCTTTTAACTAAATGCTTTTCAAGCAAAGCAAAAACCAACTTGCAAATTACTGATGGAGAAAGCCAGTTGTTATCTTCTCCATCGTGCAAGAGTATTAGGTAATTAGAGTCTCTTACAATCGACATATTTACTAGGGTAAGAGATTTGGATTAAGTTATACAAACTCGTTATTTTTAAGAGTTAAATTTAAGACTTCTTACTTATAAGTATAGAGAAATATCATTAGACCGCAATTTTAAGTGGCAAAATTTTCAAGGTTGAAATTTTGTAGTAGTTCAATATATTGTATACACTATGGTTTGACATTCCTTAAATCACTAGATATGATAGTTTTATCTAGAACATTTGAGCTTAGCCATACATTTTTTAAATGTATGTTGAGAGTGAATCCCACATCGAAAAAAGAAGAGATCTTACATGTGTTTATAAGAGATTGAGCTGCTCCCCATATTGCCAAATTGGTTTTATGAAGGAACTTGAACTTTGTTCAATGTATTGCAAACATTGATGCATATATAGTAGAAAAACTCCATTCTACTACATCTTTGTAAAGATGATTTACAAACTATTGTAGTCTATGAGAAGATAATTGACAATCGAAACAATACACTGACCAACTAGCTTAACCAACATATATGTCACATCCTGACACTTCCTTGTTCAGAAAATTTCATTTACTTTGTGATTATTTGGATTTTTATATTCTTTCCCAATTTTTAATTTGGTTCAAATAATCATAAATTATTAATTAAAATATTTGAGATTGCAGGGAACTTGGTTGTCAATAGACACTATAGAGTCACCATTATAACTTGAATATTCACCTCCATATCTTTATGCATTATATATATATATATATATATATATATATATAAAAGATGACTATGTATGTACATGGATTATTTATACATATATATTATCACTATTTTTTACCCAAAAAAATAATATTATCACCATAAAACAATGGGTCCAATTAATGTGGTTAATATCCAAATGATTGTTAGAGGCATCGTGAACATTTAGACAAAGGATCAAACATAACCATCAACATACTCCACAAACATGCGTTAAGTTGCCCGGCATGTCTAGTTTCAGGAGAAATTTGGACGATTTATTAGACGGCAATCCAAATATTGTTATGAAATTAATCTTCCATGCTTCAAATTCAAGTAATTCATTGTGTTTTTCTTTGGCTGATTTTTCAGATGCTTTTGTCCGTAAGCTCTTTTTCTGTTAGTACACAATTTTTGGATCTTTGTTAGTCTTTTATTATTGCGGCTATTTGGAAAGCTCAAAACAAGTTTATTTTCAGAGTCTTCTAATTTTTTTTCATCGTCTTTCCATGTCTATCATTTATGGATTCGTTCATGGTGGGAAGTTTATTCCTTGATACTCTTAAGGTTTAGATACTCGTATCATTTCTTCTCTAGGGATTCGGCCTATTTCTTGCAAGGCCCTTACTATTCTTCTCGTGTTACAGTCTCCTCCTTGGTATCCTTGGATTAAACTTAATACAGATGGTTTGTGTTAATGAAATCCTAGTCCTACATCTTGTGGGGGTGTTATTAGAGATTGTTGTGGTCGGTTTCTTGGTGGTTTCTGTCAGGGTATTGCCCATCACTGTTCTTTCTTTTCAGAACTTCATGCAATTATTATTGGTGTAGAATTCTTTATTAGAGGGATAGGCGTTGTCTTTGGTTGGAAAGTGACTATTCTAGGGATTGGCGTTCAAGTTACTTTGTTTTTAGACTATGTTAGCTTGCCTGGCTTTCGGTTTTCAAACTAATTCGTACCACAACTTTCAAGTAACAGATTACTTAGCTAATTATGGAGTTGATCATCCAAGTGATAAACACCACTTTCACGTTGCAGGTACTGGCTTCATCCTTGTATTTTTTGTTATCGCTCTTTTTTATTTGATAACATTCGAAGAAAAGGGACAAGGGGTCGTTCTATCGAGAAATTAACCATTTCTAATCACTGGGAATGAAGTAGCTTATTTTGTAGGCTACTTTTGATAGACCAGTGACCAAGCCTATATGTAGCTTGACCCGCCTGATTCATTACCATCATTTTCTTAATTAAAAAAAAAAAGAAAAAGAAAGAAAGAAAGAGAGAGCAATAAAGAAAAGTAATTCATTGTGTGAGGATACGAATGGGATACAAGAAGATGGTTTTTAAGGTCAAGATGCAAGAAAATAGTTGGTCTCTTAGACCCTTGTTTATAGAAGAAATTGACATATCAATTAAAATGTGTGACTATAGTTTTAATTAAATCACCTAATGCGTTTGGGATAGAGAGGGGGAAGCCAGTCAAATGTGGGATTCCATGGCTAGTAGTATCTGAAGAGTAGCAAAAGGGGTATTAGGAGAGTCCAAGGGCTTTGCTCCACACCAAAAGGAATCTTGGTGGTGGAAGGAGGAGGTATATATAAAGGTTAAGGCTAAGAAGGAATGCTGTAAAGCTTTATACAAGGATAGGATTGAAGAAAACAATGAAAGGTATATAATAGTGAAGAAGGAGGTGAAGAAAGCTGTGAGAGAAGCTAAGCTAGCGGCTTTTGATGATATGTATAAGCGACTATATACCAAAAAAGGAGAGTTGGATATCTATAAACTAGCTAGAGCAAGGGAAAAGAAGACAAGGGACCTAAACCAAGTGAGGTGCATCAAGGATGAGAATGGAAAGGTTCTTGCTACAGAGAATACGGTCAAAGACAGATGGA